TTTAAGTATAAATATCAAATTAGTATTTAATATTAATATTCAACGTGCTTCATAATTATGTATATTATATACTTATATTATTTTATATCTATTATTAAGAATACATTAATATTAAATTAAAATTAAACAACTCTGAAAATTGGTCTTAATTTTCTTCTGCCTGATTTCCCAGTCTGAAACAAGTAGAAATAATCATGACAGAATATGGTTACTTAATATTAACACAACTGGTCCTGGCAGTTTCTTAGCCATATCTATGATACTCAAAGTCAGCTACACCCAGAAAAATAAAACATTAAAAGCATACATGGCGATAAACTGGCTCAGTAAGAAAAGAATACATGAAGACATCTATGTCCCAAAATGATCTCAGGAGACTGCAAGTGTGTTGTTTTAAACTGTCAGGGTTATTCAGTTTGGTTTTTAAATGTGATTTGGTTAATTTGTTGGATAGGCCTGACCAAAAATAAATTAATGTCAAAATGTGATTTTTTTCTTAATTATGAGGTAGCAAGATAAATTTGCTAAGTAAAGTGGCAATGAACGTTGAAACCAGTGGCAAGGTAGCCATTAATGATTAGCTAGCTAGTAACTGGTTTCTTTTTCCAGGCAGTTATTAACTGTAGCCTTTCATGGTTTCCCCATCCATTGTTAGCTGTGCTGCAGCTTCTTAAAAGTCAGGTAGAAAGCAATATATTCCCACACTCCCACTGGGATCCTTATAGATTGATACCAAACCTAATATCAGTTTCCCCACATTAAACTCAGCATATATGGGATTAAAACCAAAACACTCATTTCCTGCTTACTCTCTGGCTTCCTGGCTCCAGAATCCACAATCCTCCCTGAAGACAGACACCGTCAAGGACAAGCACCTGGATCATCTCCTCCCCACAAAGAGATACAGGCTGGTGGGAAAGCTGCTTACCAGCAAGGTCACGGGCTCCCTCCTCTCTGCAAGTGTCTCAAGGCCAAAGACAGGCTGGCGGGAAAACTCCGACCAGCAAGGCCATGTGCTCCCCCTCCCCTACCTAAAACCCCAAATAAAAACCCTTCCTTTCAGCTTTTTGGGGAGTTTGGGATTTCAGCATTTGCTGCCCTTTCTCCTTGTTCAGCGCTGTGCAAAAATAAAATTCGTACTTTCTTCCACCACATCCGGTGTCAGAGATTGGCTTGCTGTGCAACGGGTGAGCGAACTCACTTCAGGTTCGGTAACAAGATAACATCTCTGATGCTTGGGTCACCATGGTAACGGGTGCTTAAGTTGTTTTTCCTGAACTGAAAGTGGACTCCTTGTCCAGTTCAGGCCAGTAGAGACCACTGACCCATCAAGTGGACCTGCTCAAATGTCTGATAGGTACCCCTTTGATGTCAGGGGGCCCAAAAACTTCACCCTGACATTATGCTAATACCACCACTTTGTGAACACCCATCTATTAAGAGCTGTGAAGCTTGACCATGCTTGTGCAGATCGTCAAATACCTCACTGTTCCTTATCTCCGATCATCTACCCCCACGCTTCAGACCGCCCTGCCCCTTTATCCCATAAATTTCCCCGATTCCTATTTTCAGGGAGGTGGATTTGAGACTTGTTCTGTCTCCTCACTTGGCTGCCTTATGAATAAACCCTTTCTCTGCTGCAAAATTTGTCGTCTCAGTGATTGGCATACTGTGCAGTGGGCAAAACAAACCTGGTTCGGTAACAACATTTCATTAACCTAAACTTGGTTACCTTCTGTGTCACTGTATATCCTCTCATATACGGCACTGTTAGCCACAAACTTCATGGAAAATCAATTATCCAGGTACATAAAAACACAGAGTGGGGGGTTCTGCTTTGTGATAAGAGGCAAGGTGATCTTGAATTTGGGTCACCAGGTAAGCTGGGACAAATTTCCCTACCACATGTCAGCTGTAGACCTACTGCCTGAGGCCCCCTGTGTCACTCACTCTAATTGACTAATTGTGTTGTTCACCTATTAGTTTTTGCAGGTTTCGTCTCAAAGGATCATCTATGCAGTGATATCAATGTTTCATGTGCGTAGGGATCTTGTCAAAACTCGGACTCTGATCTAACAGGTTTGGGGTGGGGCCTGAATCCAGTTTCCTCCCAAGCTCTCAGGTCATGTGAACAACTCAGAGTAGCAAGGAGCTAGTACTGAGGTGAACTTGATAGCACGTTAGGAACACCTGCAGGGTCTCACCCTCAGAGTCTCCGATTTAATGGATCTGAGGAGGGATCCAAGAATTAGCATTTCTAACAAGCTTCCAGGGGATGCTGATGCTGCTGGTCCAGGAATCACACTTCAAGAACCACTGATTTAGAATCTCAGTGGGGATCTCAGAGGAGAGAAATAGAGTGCGTGTAGAACAGCAACCTCTCCCTGTTGTAGAACGCCTACTGCGGACGAAATGTCCTTGTGAACCTGGGTCTTAAGTTTTATATAAATGAACTATATAAATGTCGTCCACCCATTAATTCCTCAGTTTTCTATATATTTAGGAGAGGTAAAGCTAAAACAAGGAATTTGTTTCATTCCCACTTTGAACTATAGGGTTCCTTTTAGTTTTTCTCGAATTATACTTGACAAAATAATTCTACATGAATTTTTGGGTATGAATTCTAGATAAAACCTCAGATATCTCAAAGAAAGCCTTGAAGTTTCTTTTTAATGTTAATAATTCCATGTTATAGCATTTAAAGGTCCCTAAACATGGGCAAACAAAAACACCACAATTTCAGGCATTAATTGTTACATACTGACAACTAAATATGAAAAATTTTGAAATCCTATGTATTCTCAGGCCAAATATGGGGGAAGGCCACACTTGTTTTTAATTGTTTTTTTTTTCTCTAAAGTTAGGAAATAAAAAACTTCTAACTCTATAGCTTGGTTTTATCAAAGCACACTTTATTCCTATCAATAAAAAAACCTACTTTAAGAAGTAGACATTTTAAAATAATTTGATCTATCATCACAAAATGTGTATTATGAATGTACTTCACACATTTGTTTTTTAATGCTCCTTATATACTAAATTACTCCATATATTTGAAAATAGTTATTTTATTGTTAGTGGTTAGGATTTGAGGTGATTTAAGTGTGGTTTTTATTTTTTATGCAACACCATCCTTTCAAAGAGTTTTTAAAAATTATGCGTGCTTACTTTTATTGGGCCCTACAAAATACATAAGGGTCTATCGATTCTTAGCAATGCTATGTTCTGCTGTGTTCTATTTTCTTTTTCCTACATAAGTAGAAAAACAAATGCAGTATCTGGCCAAATGCAATGTTCCTTCGGATTTATTAGAAAAGCAAATAAAAGAGACCAGAGAGATGCAGCAATATACATGGTTTGTTTGTTTCATTACCCTAATCTAATTTAGGATTTTCAGCTAGTACAGAACTCATAACTAACACACTGCAAAAACTGAGTTAGTTTTTCTTTTCTATGAAAATAAAAATCCTCAACTCTAAAACATATATTGTGAATATTTTCCAAATAGCATAGCATATTCCATTTTCTAAAAGTAAACATATGCGTTGATATCGTTTTATAAAATATTTTTAATAAACTCAGGAGGAATGAAAAGCTCAGTAAAGTTAAGAAACTGTTTAACAAAGCTCATTTATAACAGTTATGCCAATTTTTGTCTATCTTGGTGCTTCCATGGAATTTTTTCACATGAAATAGTTTGAGATCTGAATCAAGATAAGGAAAATGTAATTGTATATTTTCCCTAACTATAGATTTAATTATAAAAAAAATTCATGATTAACTAAGTGACAATGAATTTACCGACAATTAACTTATATAAAACAATCCATAAAGTACAAAGTTTTGTTACAAAACTAAACTTGTAAATAGTCCAGTGGAGTTTTGTGAATTTCATCAATCATAAAATTAACATTTAATTTTGAGTGTAAACAGAGAATAACTTTGAAATTCCTAAGTATATCATAAAACAGTCATAGTTCCTCTGTGAGATAAATTTTAATGATATTTTGAAATCATTTAATTAGCCAAAACTGCTTAATGCAGATTCATTTCCCACACTTTCTAATAATTCTGGTAGCACTCTTAGAGTGTCCTCTCTTGCTAACCAAGAAATCTTCCACTGGCCTTTAATTGTACTTTATGTTCAGATATAAATTCTCTCTTTCATAATTAAACAAATGGAAGAAATATGAATACATAAACAAACACAAAAGTTAATGTTTGGCTAATGATTTTTAATTGCTCAGAAAACATTCTGCACTTATATTCACGAATATAACTTAGCACAATATACTTCTAAATTTTTAATGATATATTTTAAAATTTCAAAATATAATATATATTTTAAAATTTCTATAAAAATTTCTATAAAATTATATCTGAAATATAAGATTATATTTTAAAATTTTAAAACTGGTGTCATTGTTAGAGTAACGAGTACATCAGACAACAGAATTGTATTACCCCCTAAAATTATTTTACTCACAAAGGCTATGAAAAGCATACATTGTGGACACCTTATAAAATAAAATCTTACTTACTAAAACTTTTTTCCTCTGCTCTAATATCCAATGTCGTATCAAGTAACACCTTTAATTAGAAACTGTAACTGAGAATGAGGAGGCTAATCACAAAAGTTTTAAAAATCAACTGCTCATTTTCTCAATAGTTAACTAGTTAATAGATTAAAAAAAGTTTTTGTCTGAATGAGAAATTTCCATGTGATATATATTGTTATTGTTTATAAATCTATAGAGTTTGGCACAAAAGACTATTAAAATATTATTTAAATACACGGCTTTTTTCTAAAGGAATAAAATATAATATCCTATTAAAATATTATGCATTCAAAATAATTTATGAACTTATGTGTTCACTCATTTATCCATCATTCAACAAATGTTTGGTAAATGTAATTTTAAGAGATTTTAATTTTTTAACATATATATGCCAAACTCTTTATTTCTGATTTTCTTAAAGTAAATTAATGTAGATTGAGCTTTAGGTTCCAATATGGATGGCCATTCAATTTTTAGCATGTTCAAAGGCCTAAGCACTGCGTATCAGGGTTGCAAGCCTCATACCTGCTGGGCTAGTTCCACAAATGCTTGAAGATGGTGGCCCTGTGTCAAACTAGAGAGTGCATGTTCTTGCCAAGTATTTGTATTTTTAAAAGGTAATAGCTCATTATGTAAAAACAAAACATATTTGTGGGTCTGAGTCAACCCATTGGTATTAAGGCTGCAATTCTTTCATGGAAATTCTTTCATATGAGCCTTATGAAATCTCTGTGGCTCAAACTGCTGTGAGCTTGTTCTAATCCATGCCTTTCCAACAATCCTAGAAGCTGTAGGAACCTGATAACACATTCACATAGTCAGAGACCCAAGGACAAAGCTCTGAAGCCTCCTGAAAGAAAACAGTACTGGGTACACCTCCACAAGTTAAAATTGTAGGGAGAAATGAGCTTTTATTTACCAAATTGAAGACTGCACCAAAGAATACTTAAAAATCCTTCCATACATAGCCACTTGGGTAGAGGAAGCAATTCTCTGTCACCAAAGACAATATTTCTAAATAGTTCTCCCCAAGATTTTGGAGAAAATATTTAATTTTCATCTAAAATAAAAATTCATTTTTCATTAGCCTCCACAACACCCAGCTCTCCCACCTACTCTTCCATAGCGTACGAAGTAACAAGTTTTCAAATAGAAGATGCAAGAAAGTACATAGTACATTCCAGAAAGGGCAATATATATAAGCATATAAAAGAAAATTAACAAGTGAAACTTGTATTTCTAGAGAACATGGAAGTCATATCAGACAAGCAGAATTTAGGGGAGCTTCATATTTATAGTATCCTTATCTATACATGACTCAAAGTTTACCTCCAATAAACACATTAGCAGATGCTGCTACCATCTGATATTCAATACACTCCTACATAGGCATTTGTAGATGGTACTCTATTAAAGGCACATTTAATTCTTTATACACGTCTTCGCTAGCGTCCTAAATTTGGGTTCCAGATGATCTAAAAACTCAAGTCCTTCTTCTTCCTGCCGATCACTGCAGCAGCCTACCGAGCCGGCCATGGACCCTTTTCCTTCATAGTTGTACGAGCGCACGTAGTCTTCAGAATGTTTATGCTCCTCATCTTGTCCACACAGATACACCTTCTGTATCACAAAAGAACACATTTTATTATTTCTTTTAAAACACCTAAACATACTAACATAAAAATAATGTCTTTGATTTACCTTTTACTGTTTAATTTTTAATCAGAGTGTGTCCTCTAATGGATTCCTACATATAAAAAATGCACATGATTGGTCTGAATTATATTCATTCTTAAAATGTAGCAAATATATAGATGCTCCTAGTGAACACATTTATAAAAATTAAAGCTATGCATATATCATACAACTAACAATTTCCCATTTGAACATAAGATTTGTATAGTTGAAATATACCTCTGTAGCTTCTTTGTATCTCTGAAACCAATATAGTCTATGATTCTTATGTTTATACGCTATCATATAGCTATAATAAGGTACTACATTAAACTGGCTAGTATTAACCTATATTGATTAATCTAAACATAAAATAAGGAACTAAAACCCCAAATAAAAGCTTAACAGTCTATCTGGATGATGTTGATAGCCAGGACTTCATAACCACGTGAAGGATTCAACACACTGAAAGATGTTTCTAATTTATGATCTGTGCATTACTCTATAGCAAATATTTCACTCCAGGTGATTTTCCTGGTAACTTTTAGGGAAGAAGCTATCAGTCTTTTCATACTTCCTAAACATATCTACATATGCCACTCTTAGAGAAAGTTTTGTAAACCTCATTTTAAAAATTGAATTTTAAAAGATCGTTTTTCTTTCTGGGTTTGAACCTGACATCCATATCTGTGATAATTCAACGTTAAAAAGGCGAAGAGTTCCAGGTGTAAGGAGGAAAATTTTCAGGAAATCCTGATTTATAAATAGTGTTTAACTTTCATGTAATATGAGCTTAAAGACTTTGGCACTTACTTCACCAAGCCGAGGTTGGGTGAAGCTGTGCCAGTCGGTGTATGTGAATCGGCCAGTATCCGTTACTCCTTGTCCTACCCCCTTGACGGATTCCAAGGTCTGATGTCCACCTCCTTTGCTGGAATCCAAAGTGTATCCACCTTTGACCATCTCAAAATTTTGCTGTGTTTTGACTCCCTGGCCACCAAGGGTGCCACCAGACATGCTTGTATCGCAAATGTTGGATGTCTGAATGGGGAGTCTAATATTTGCCTCCTATAAATAAAATCAGACATATAAAATGATGAAGCAAATTGAAACTAACAGTTTGCTTTCATTTCCTTCCCACCATAGGCAAACCACTTACTTGTTGTGCCTCTCAGTTCCTCATACAGAAAGTCAAGATAATAATTGTACCCATATCATGGGTGTTATGGGTCGAACTGTGTCGCCTCCAAAGTTCATATGTTGAGGTCTTAACCCTTAGTGCCTCAGAATGTGATCTTACTTGAAGATAGAGACATTGTAGATTACAGGTGTAATTAGTTAAATTAAGATAAGTTCAAACTCAATTAGTGTTGGTCCCTAATCCAAAATGATGGTGCCCTTACAAGAAAAGGGGAAATGTGGACACAGACTGGCACACAGCGAGAATGCAACATGAAGATCTGATTTATCTTGCCATAAGCCCGGGTACCACCAGAAGCTAGAGAGAGGCCTGGAACAACAGATCGTTCCCTAGCACCTTCAGGGGGAGAATGGCTCTGCCAACATCTTGATCTCCAACTTGTCGCCTCTGGAACTGAGACAATACATTGCTATTGTTTAAGTCACTCAGTTTGTGGTACTTTGTCATGGCAACCCTAGGAAACTAATGCAATACAACTGTGGAGTTTAAATGAATTAACATGTGCAGGGCACTTGGAACTCTGCTTGGCATGGTAAATGCTCAATAAACATTAGCTATTATTATTATTATTATTACTATTATGTAGTAATCAATTGTCATCATCGGATCACCATACAATTCAAAGGAAAGTGAAGTCTGATTTACCATTACTTCTTCTCCAGGTCCTTCAGTATTTGATACAATTAAATTTTGCTGGGCTACATCTTCTGGAAAACATTTCTTTACTGTTTTCTTAGCAGTGACACAGAAACACGTAAACAGAATACCTAAAAAATGAAAATATTTAAGTAAAAGAGTATTTTTTTCATGCTGAGTATATATTAAATCATTTGAATCATATGATTTTTCTAAAAGTTTCTTCACAGAATTTTAAAAGATTTGTTCCAGAAATTATCTCTTTGGGTCATAAAATTTAAAACAGAATATTAACAAATGTATTGTTATATAGACCATCTTTGTCTTAGTGAGGTTATATTATTAGGCTACGTAAGAAATAAATCAATAAAAATTAAGAAGGATCAAGTGAGCATAGTTTAGTAATAGCTTTCTTCCCAGATCAAGAATTAATTTAAAGTTTCTCTTATTTCCTCCACACTGAAATAGTAACTTCATTTAATTGAAATTTAAGCTAGTATTATTGATATTTAAAATCCATATAGAACACACTCAAAGGGCTTAGAACCACAAAACAAAGAGCATTTGGCATAAGTACAAACAAGAAAGGCAATTATATAAACTCAGTGCCCAGTTTTGAAAGTGTGCATCAACTAATATAGTGCTAAGAGGAACATCCAGCTTAATCTGAAACTCAAATCAATGAATTAGCACACAGCAAAGACTATGGGAAAAGTCTGTAAATGCAAAGAGGTTGTGTGTAGTCCAATAGACTGTTAAAAAAGAAAGAGGAGAAGGAAGCAAGGAAGGAAGGAAGGAAGGAAGAAAGGGATGGAGAGAGGAAGAAAGAAAAGAAGGAATGAAGGAAGTGTGGGCAATGATTTCTGCCACTTTTGTATCTCCAAAACACAGTCTGCAGAAGGCAAAATCTTAGCATCCTCTGTACACATTACTTTTCCTCAGTGGTTCACCATAAGACAATTTTCCACTCATTGGAGTCTTAAGATGTATGCTACATCGCTTCATTAGTAACATTTAAGTAAATTTTGGAACTACTCTGTTATCACTAGTTCTTTTGGTGCATTCACTATGTATATTTGGCTGGTTGAAAGACTATAATATTTTGTATGGAAGGATATCTTAATAATAATTTTATCCAACCTCTTCATTTTACACATGGAAAAAATGAGCTCAAAGAAGAGGAAATTTTTTATCCAGTGTCTTACAGCTAAGTGTTGGAAGAACTAAGGCTACACCTCTGAAATTTGCTTTCAATTTAATCTGCTCTCCCTCATATGCTTCTTCTGTGGCTCAGGACGCCAAGTCGTATAGTATGCACAAGATTTTTAAAAGGATACATTTACCAAAGGCTATAAATGTCATTGATATAAAGAATTGCCATATACATTTTCAAAAAATATTAGATAAAACTTCAGCTGACACATTCTAGATAGTTATACTTACATAACAACAATGCAGAGCCCAACACCATGGCAAGAATAGCCCATTTTCCAAGTATTACATTTGATAACTTAACATCTCTCTCATCGACAATATTCATTCTACAGTCAGATGGAGTTGTACAGTCACATACTCTCACTGATAACATGTGTTTTCCAACCAAACCATGTCTATCTTTTATTTCGATAGGCACAGTATAGTAGTTATAATCAAGATTTTGCCGTTCACGAAGAATGGCAGTTTTACCTAGGAGAAAAAGATAGAATATATATTGATATGACATTTCAGTAGCTATATTTTTCCCAATTGTTATTCCTGGGGGGAAGGTGGTAATTTAGCTTAGAAAAGAATTCTAGTGATTCATTTTTCTTCTTAAAAATTATTTTGATTTCTCAAGAAACCAGAAACAATAATTGATATTGCTCTACATTTATATTAGAATAATCTATACTTAACATGTTATTCAAATATTATCTTAAAATAGATGTATATATTTTCTTAAAAGATATTTGGAACAAGAGTCTGAACTTAACATAAATATATTATTCATTGCTTTATTAAAAGAAAGCCATTTTCCTTTTTTTTAGGATCAATAAAATAATTTCCTAACATGAGTATTTATTTAGTATAATGAACTAAGGTGAAAGTCAAGACCATCAGCCATCTTGAGTTCCTATTGATTACAAGATTTAATATAATTACACACCATCCTTTGTTTCTATAGTCCAAAGTTTGCTGGCAGAATTATCCAGAAAGAATTGAAAAGGTGGACCATTTTCAGGTCCATCTGGATCTACAGGTTCTAGAACAGCATACTCTTTATTATGTCGACAAATTGTCGCTTCTTTTTCAAGTTGTGGTGGGTGGTCATTATCATCTTCCAAAAGAACTACTAATGTTCCAGTGCAAGATCTGCCATCTAAGAAAAATCAAAAATAGGTTATGTCTTCACTTAAAAATTTATTTCAGCAATCTTTATGATACACAGTTAACATCTGCTTTCTGCTAGTTGTGTGAACTTGAATTAGCACACACACTTCCAAGATCACAAATACCATTGCTACAAGGACAAAATAGTGGTTTGTCATTCTTCCGTGAAGATTGGTGACTGTATCAGATGATAAGTTGAGGTGTTTTTCAAAACTAAAAGGTATGAGATTATGAGTAATGTCACTACAGAATATCCAGTTGAAAATAAAATTGATTTCTTACATAAAGAGCGTATATTTATCCTTAGAATACAAAGGTTTTACATTTGGTCATCAATCACCTCCTTGGCTTCCTCTCCTAACCGTTTCTTTTATCAAACCCACTAAGTGCGCTCCTTCATGTCTGTTTGGTACATTCTGTTGCCACTGACAGAAATACTTTTATCCTCCTCTTTGCCTGAAAAATTCCTATTATCCTTTAAGAATCCTCCTCACGAAATTTGCTGTGGCTTCTGTGGACAATGGTAGCCATATTGTCCTTTGATTTCTCAAGACACTACTTGAGTCATCATTGGCTCACACACTGAACTGGGAACATGTTCATAGTAAGAACTAAGCTGTACTCATCTTGAAAGCCTAGTGCTCTGCCGAGTATTTCTCAGCTAATTTATAACTTAATACTACACAGTGAACATAATGTGCTTACTATTTTTACATTTTGTAAAAAAACTAATTGAATAAACCATTAAAATAAGTTTGCACCCCCACCTTAGTCCAATTAATATGTTCTTGAGAATAGGAACTCCTACTCATCTCTATTCTATAGATCAGCACTATTATTGGCCTAATGCTTTACACATAAGTCTCAATATTTTTTATTAAAATAGAGCCTATTATTTGTGTTTAAGAGATAATGAAGTTCAGAAAACATGTTCAAATTTTACTGTTTGTGAAAAATAAACTATAATAAACAGTAAACTTTAAAGATTGAAATAAACAAAGAATTGATAAAATTTCTCATTTTTGTGCTTTGAATACTGGTCTAAATTTTGGAGCATATATGTTGAATTTATCATAAAGACTACTATATGTCATATGCAAATATAATCTTTTTTATTTTTCGTTCGAAATAACATTTAAGCCATATCATGTGGTATATCTCAGTCAAACTTTTTTCTGTTGAACAACTACAAAATTAATTTATTCAAAGGGACTTTTAAATTAATGACTTACATAAGGTAACTACTGCATATATCTATTTGAAAACTATTCTATTTGAACAAGTTTTTAAAATATCTAGAAATAAAAAGAAATCTGCAACAGCATATAAACATTTTGAGACTGCCAGGTAATTGTAAAAATATGAATATAAGTAACAACTTCAAAATCAGCAAACTAACAAAAAAGTGAGTAACAGGAAAAAGAAGGTCTTTTTAAATTTAAAAAAAAATGTAGTTAGAGGCATTACCTGTGAGTCAACATGAGTGCTATGATTTTACTTTTTAAAATTTAAGCAAAGAGCAGTTTCTCTTTATGGAACGATAAAAAGAAATCACACTTTAAAAATCAAATAAAGAAGTAGAGCACCAAATGGAAAGCAAATCAAGACTCATTTCATCCTCTATTCAGCCAGCATTTATCACATAAGATTGTTTTCCATCACAGTCTCTGTTTTAAGCATGTTGTTAAAAACGAATGCTTGAAATTAACAAAATGGGTGGTAGTCAAAACCAGAGCTGAAAATGAAGTCCTAGAAGTCTTCTAAAACTACAAATGATTGATATGTTTTCACCTTACTTCTGGGAAATAGAGCCAAAAATAAGTAATTGTTGAGTATGGCTGAAGGTTGTGAAAAGTTAATTAAGTGGGTATAATGCTTAAATTAAGCACATAAGGAAATGCCAAGTATCAGCGAGTAAGGAACATCCCAGTCTCAGGGCTGGAAAGTACATCTTGGGTTAACTGAAATCTAAACTTACACATGTCAACCACATGGAGTCCGACAAGCAATGGTTTCCCATTGCCACTGAAATGTTTTCAGGAACTAGAAGTTCACTGCATTACGAATCAGTCCACTCCAGGCACAGAACTCTTTAATTGTTGGAGAGTTTTTAGGTTCTGTCTTATTAAGCTACAATATGTCTCCTAATCATTTCCAACAACTTGTTCGTGTTCTTTTTGGACTATACACACACAATGTTTACCTCTTCTACATGACAACCCTTAAATATTTGTTATTTTAAGAAAAAATTTTTACAGCCAAATATAACAAAGCATTTTGTAAACGTTTGAACTCAATTTTTTATATTAAAACTAATTGTTCCAAGTACCAATTATGCGCCGGGAGTAGCAAAGCTCTTGGTAGTGAAATTGACAACCTGGACCTGGAGGTTCATGAAACTCAAACAACAGCAGAATGACAACTATCAGTACCTGCATTAAGCAAACATATGCCAAAATCTCTGCCAGGTGCTTGGTAAAGGGATGATTTTGCAAGAAAAAGCCTCCTTATGAGAAATTGAGCTCACAATCAATCCAGTTAGAGGAATAGAATATACATGAGAAGCAATGAAACACCCTTTTCATAGAGAAGACACCTGACCTGTGATAACATATTATTCCAGGGAAGGAGGGCTTAAAAAGTGTTAAGAGAAGACCTTAACAAAACAATGGGAACAATCGCAGAAGCTGTCAGTGTGATTCATTTGAAGTTGAGATCTTAATTTCAAACAGGAGAGCATAGAACGATTCTAGGCAGAGGGTGTATAAAACAGTGTTTTCTAGAATGACAGTAGGGAAACCAGCTTGACTGACAAAGAGGATTGACACAGGAAATACAAAGGAAGAAAGTGGATTCTAAGAAAGCTAGAAGAATACCTAGATCATCATCCTGAAATATTTATGAACATCAAAACTAAATGTGGAAATGTAAGTACAGTCGGCCCTCCATATCTCAGGTTCCACATCCACAGATTCAACCAACCATGGATGAAAGGCCTACAATGGTTGTGTCTGTGCTCAACATGTACACACTTTTCTTGTCATTATTCCCTAAACAATATAGTATAACCACTATTTACATAGCATCCCCATTGTATTAGATATTATAAGTAATCTAGAGATGATTTAAAGTATATGAGAGGATGCTCATAGGTTATAAGCAAATATTATACCATTTTACATTAGAGACTTGAGCATCCTTGGACTTTGGCAACGGTGGGGGTTCTGGAACTAGTCCCCCTGATTCAGAGGGGCAAATGTAATTATTGGGCTCTTGGAAGGATATATCGATGGATTAAAGTTCAAAGCAACAAAATCCTTCATGTCACCGTATGGCCTTCCACTAAAATTTATAACATCCTTATCTTTACTTCTTCTTGAGCACACCCAGGTTATCCATGAGCCTGGGACATAGACTTGTACGGTTCAGACTTGACATTTTACTTCCTTGTACTATGATCACTGTGCTTACAGACATTGTCTTTTAGCATCAAAAGACATAGTTAATTTCTTATATTTCTGTTCTCTATATTTGCCTGCTCTCCAAGTGGTATTTCATTTTCCTATCGCCAAGCTTCTGCATTTCTGTGAAATCTCCTCCCTTTATCCTTTAATCTGGGCTGCTCTTAACTGACTTCCACTTCTTAAGAGATCCATACATACTCTTAGGGGGAAAATTTTCATGCCAAAGAACCAACCTCTTATAAGAATATAATAATCCTTTAACAGATATCATGTGAGAATTTGGAACTACTATTTGGATTACTATTACTATTCTATTACTATTTGGAACTCCTAGACAATGGACATTGTGGAATAAATGAGTAAACATAAATCCTTGCTTGACATCATAATGGTATTCTTGAACCATTCAGATTTCACTTTTACTTATATAGGAGCAGCAAATCACCCAGGATTACAGAGTAGTGGCAACATTAGCTATATTTCTCAACTAATGTCTTCTCCACTCTTAAGTAGTTTTTCTTTCTACCTATACTGAAAGAACTACATTAAAAGTATGTGTGAGAGGTATCAAGAGGAAAAGATCATATGAAGATGGTTAAATAACAATATTCACATTTAGATTTTCTGTCAGATTTTTCAACCTAAATATTTTTTAGCTCATGGCAATAGTTCTTTAAAACTGCTTGGTCACTGATTATGATGTGCAACACAGTATTTTCCTCAAAGGCAACAGGAATAGAACAAGGCTGAGTGAGGAAGAAAGAAAAAATCTGAATAGTGCAGATGTGTATGAATGGTCTTGCCCTTCCCATATAAATTAGAAGCAGCCAGCATCTTCATTATTGTAATCTTTGTGTCTTGTCAGAGAATCATCTTTTAGTAGACGTGGCTTTTATTGTAAAGCTATAGAAAAGAGTAGGGATATAACATATGAGAAACATTTGTCTTTATTTTATTATCAAAATATCAAGGGGCAAAATGAATTAACATGAACCATTTCATGACCTATTTTCAACTTTTGTTAATTTCCGTGGGATTTTATATATATTTATTCATACACTCACCTATTCCTTCTAAAGAAATTCAATGATTCTACAGAAAAAGACCACAGCATTGCTGTATCAGCTTGTTTGTTTTGAACATCTAGTATATAAAAATATGCTAACCATAAAAATAGTGGAAACCACCTTGGATTAGGCAGATAGTCAAAAGCATAGGCTCTATCATAAAAGTATAAGTTCATTCATCTTTCTGGAAATTTACCCCAAATGAGTGAGTCTATAATTAGTGTAATGGGATGTAACATTGTAATTTCTATTTATATTTTTTATCATCCTCTTTTAATATCTATTTAGTATATTTTTATGATGTATACATTAGCATTACTAAGTATACATAGTACATATAGATAAATAAACATACTAGTAAATATATGGAGGTTGTGGTATGCTGGTCTCAGTCTATCGACGACCAATGTTGTCACTCAACCAGGCCTTGTGGCTCTTATTATGATTGCAACATCCCCTCAGCCATACCATCAGGAAACATGGAAAAAAAAGGTTTATTACTTATGAGTCCTGTGCCACACAGCGAGATCACAGGGAGAAGGGGAGAGAGGGAAGGGGAGAGAGAAGGAGGGGGAGAGGAGAGATCGCGAGAGAGCTCCAGGAGTTGTGCTTTTATTGGGGTCAAAGGTGGAAACCTAGGGTTTTGTAGGCTTATTCTTTATTGGTGAATTTAAAACAGATTGGGAATTTAAAGTGGAGGGGATAGGGTGAGGTGGGTGGGGAGGGAGAAGAAACAAGTGGCCTAAATGGTCAGTTATGGAAATGAACCAAGATCTCTAAAACAAAGGAGCCTGGGGTTAGGGGTAGAGTGGGGTAGGATGGCAGCCTGACTCTTTATCTAATTCTGAGGCTGGCAATGTGTTTATTCCAGATAGCCATCTTTGAAGTAAATGCTTCTTTGAAGTGCATGCCTCAGCAATCAAAGCTTAAGTCAGGTACTCTCATTTCAAAAAGAAAAGCCAACTGTCAGGGCTTACACTACAATGCTACAAAATCCAAAAATAGCTTACTGTAGGAGTGTATGTTCAAACAGAGTTTTGAGATCACTAATTTATGACATTTGAAGGGCATTTCTTCACAAGATAGGTTCTAAAATTAACCTTAGACAAGGATTGCAAAGCACAGCGAAAGACTTGAGTCATATTTGATCATTGCTTTAGGATACAGGAAAAACGTTTTGTTCCCCATGAAGGGAGGCTCAGAACAAACCTACCTTGAACTCAACTGTTTTAGGTGAGTTGAACCCTTTCAGCAAGCTCAAATCATAATAACCTAAATCTGTATTCCTGAAAAAAATGGAGATCCTTGAGGATGTCACCATATCCATGGCAGAGATCAAGTAATACGGACCTTGAAATTTAGACTTGGACCATTTATTGCCCTTATTTTCCATTACTGATGCGCCGGGCCTAAATTTGGTGGTCTCCAATAAATTGAAAAATCATAATGCAAACATTATTTGCATTAAATTTTCACATGGAAATAAACAGATTTCACCCCAAGATTTCCTTAAAAATATATCCTATATTTATATTTTATTTCTAGAAAATGGCACTCACCTGCATCCATTGCAACCACGGAAACATTGTATTGGTCATTTTTTACAAATTTTGATTCTCTATCTAGCACTTTTAAAGTTTTCAAGTCACCAGTGTATTCATTAATGTCAAACCAACCATCGTCGTCTCCTATCTTCTTATACCTAATTTTTAGAAAAAAATGTAAATACTCCAAGAATGGGCATAATCTCAAAATCTATCAATTTGAAAAATACATAGAACTTTCCTAAGTTAGAACTCAATTTACATCGCAATTAAAACTAAGAAACTTTTTGAAAAAGACATTACCTTAGGCCTTCCCCATTGCGCGTTTCTGGATCTGACGCTTTGTATCCAAGGAGTTCTTTGCCAGCTGGGAGGCCATCTTTACTCTGAATAACTTTTACTGGCGGTTGGCATTCAGGGCCCTCATCACTGTCCTTTACTTTAACAGTGACAGTTGTAGTGCACATAGTAGGAGGAGTTTGTGAGTTTGCTGCTTTAGAGAATTGTGCTTCATTAAGTACACCAATTTGCAAAACAATTTGGCGATTGACTTCATAGTTCAATGGCTGTTCAAAAAACATACTTTAATCAGTCAATAGATAACACTGTATATGGAAGACGTAATTATGATTCCAAGTTTTCGCACAAAAGGGAATATCAGTTTGTTCCCAGGGAACACCATTTTTGTGTATAAAATATCACCAAAAGTTGGTGCTAACGTAGTTACTGGCTAATAATTAGCTTCCTGTAATGACAAACACTATCAAATGCAAAATTGTTGATTTTAAGGTTCAACCAATTTTTTCTTCTCACTTTTCTTTTGGAAGATCTTGTCTTCATTTTTTCATCACAAGTTTAAATATTAATGGAAATACAGAATAAGTATTTGAATAAATTCAAATAGACTATTATTTCTCAATATTTCATTACTTATCAAATGGGATAACAGTGATAACTAAGACAGCAGAAGTCCCTCCAGGCTAAGTATGTGAAATAATTAGACAGACTATGAGGACACGGGATTTGGCTATAATGGAGTGTTACTCTGAGTATATGAGTCAAGAGAGATCATTTTATCTAGACACAACTTTCCAAAGCACATTATATTTGAATTTGCTTAATTCCCAATCAAAGTGCTCAGTCCTGAACTGAATAATTAGAAAGAATCCCAAAACAATAGTTTAATAATTAGGGCCTAAAATCTATCAAGATAACAAAAAATGGAAAGCAAGAGAAATCTAGAAGCCAGAAAAAGGATAGAAAGAGAGAGAAAAAGAGAAAGAATAGGTAATAGAATAAGTAAAAGACATTTTCTAAAAATCTTATGAGGAAAGCACAATTTATGTATATTGCTTCTAAGAAAATACACTGTCTCCAGGAAATTAATGAGGGAAGATACGTAAGAGTTTAGTGAGGGCTGTGGGCAGACGGACTCAGAAAGGAACCAGGTTCAGTTAAAGTAATCATGATAGGTGCCAGTAATTGCAATTTTAAAACTCCCCAAACACCAGCTACCTCAAATATAGGGGGGTTAATGGGAATAGCTACTGAATATTTAGTAAATGATCTGTCTTATAAAATACGTTACAGAGAGGTAAAAGTACAACATGAGCATAAGCAGAAGTGAAAAGTCAAGAGGTTTGATTTCAGTGACTCTTCCATTTCTTCCTGTTTTGTGTTAGACAAAATAAGGGATCTGGACAAATGGGCATCCAAGACCCCTTCTAAGGCTAATATCTGATTATTAACTCAACATTTCTCTGCCTCCATTTTCCTCGTATGTAGAACAATGAGTTTTGCACCTGCCATGCCTGTCCTCTAAGAGAGAAAAAGAGGGTAAAATAATCATAATAACTATAAAAGTTTATGTAAACCAGTGTAAGTCATTTCAGCATTGCATTGCAATACTCTAGTTATATACATTCAGGAATTACTATATATATATATACACATATATATATCTGTGTTGTTGTTGTTATTGTTTACCTTGACAACACACAAGACTGCTTCATTTGTCTTTGGGTCGGTGCTAATTTTGAAGTGTCCGTTTTCATTTCCCTGTAGGATCGTGTACACAGCCTGGGAGTGAGGAGTGTTTGGCAAATCCTGGTCATGTATCGCCATTCGTAAAATCTCAACGTCAATTCTGTTTTCCTCTACTTCTGCAAAATACTGAAACAATTCCCTCTTGTTATTATAAATTCAAAGCTTTGACAACAATTTTTTACTCTAAAACTTATATTTAAAGAAAAAGAAAACAAAGTGATATGGAAATATGCAATCATATATTGGGAAGAATTTACACATTTAATGCATAGCTGACTTCTTTCTTCACTAAAATGCTTTTTGAAATCTTATCTATTCTCAGGTCTTAACTTCTCAACTTCTCTGAGGTGATTTTTCTAATCATTCAGACCCTTAGGTTTGTCTCTCTTCTGAACCTCAACAATATTTACAGTCTATTACTCCTTTTTTAGACATAAAATGCTTTATATTAATATATTAAGCCCTCAATAGTTCTAGATAATTATAACCTGCACTGATTTCTTATTATTCCTGGATGACTTGTTAATATGCCAATCTTCTTTTTTATTATTTACTTTTGATTCACTAGCAAACACTTTAAGGAAAATGTTTTCCCTTCTTTGAGAAATTAAATCATAGTTTCTCCTCTCTACACCTCCCCAAAAAAGAAATATGGTTATGGAAGCATATGATATTAAAAAACTTAAAAATATAGTAAATCAGAATCTTCTAGAGATGTAAGATGAATTCATACAAGGATGATAGCCTGCTAGGCACTGGAGCATCACAGATCTAGGTTCTAATCCCAGTTTTTTGTCTTACATGGTCTGTATGTATGAGATCATGTGCAAGTTACTTAACTGAGCTTCCACTTCCTCATATTAAATATGGCATAAAATATATCCTTATAAGTTGTAGAGATTAATGTAAAAAAATAATACGAATGTGCCTATCACTGCAGGTTTTCTCTTCTTTGACTTATACTCTGGTATAGATTAATGGAAAAATAAAGATTACACACTAAAAGTTCAAGAAAGAAGATCCATTTTCTGGAAGTACTGTTCTGTGTGTATTTCTTGCACTGTGTACTTCCTAAGGGAAAGTTTGCTCGTACATGATACAGGAAGAGCCTGCATACAGATGGTGGTGGGGCAGCCTGTACTATTGACTCCCCAACAAAGCAGAGGATGTAAAGCTAGTCCCTTTGTCATCTTAAGAAGTTAAAGTGTAAAGGATACAGGGAGAAAGCCTCTTCTGTTTCATCCTATAAAAAGAATTTAAATCCAAGGAATCTGATACCAGAGCTTAGTATCCAAGAAAACATTGAATACATGAATGGCTTCATTGGCTAAGAACCTCTTAGATGACCAAGAGAATAGTTATTTCCCTAGCACCCAGAAATAACTGGCACTTCAATTATTTTTACAGAAGTCATATTTTTCTGCTTTTGTTATTTGTATGTGGTAGCTATTAAAACCAAAATGTGTAATCTCACAGAGCCCCCAAATTCCATATTTGTTTTTTTGAAAAAGTAAATGAACTTAGATAAATGAATACAGAGATATACTCACCGAAGTTTCTGCAAAATAGGGTGCATTGTCATTTTCATCCTCGAGTGAAATAGTAATTGTTCCTGTATTAAATAAACCAAAAGGTTGCCCCCCCATGTCTCGCACTTCCATTACTAACGTGTATGTATCACATTTCTGAAAAAAAAGGAAAAAGGTACATTGATGAATACTTCTATTTGCTATAACGTGCAATTCTCATAGCCACTGTTCAGGCTCTGATTATTTTACAAATATTATTTTTCGATTTCTTTTTCAAAAAGAGCCACCATAAATACAAATATAGAACAAGACGTTGGTCAGTCAGTACAATGGAAAGCTGATGTGTCTAATATAACATTTCACAATTTAAAGCTATTTTAGCATCCACACATCAAATCAGGGCAATGATCTCAGCTGAGACCTCTCTTAATAAGTTATACCTTCCCAAAATCTCAGTAGGGGCAAAGGAAGTGTCCAGAGAAGCCCTAACCACAGCCTAGATGGAAACATGCTTGGAGAGGTGGCCAGACGGGCCTTACTGTGACTTCTCTGGGAATTCGTTCTCTGTTTAAATATAGTTTAGTAACAGTGAAATTAATGAATCAATTCATTACTTCTCTATCCAGTAAAGGTGTGGTTGTGGTGATGACGCCTGTATCTGGATGTATGGAGAAATGCTTTGGATGGTCTGGGATTTGCTGTAAGATTTTATACTTCAGACGAGTATGTAGAGTGTCAGGTTCATCAAGGTCTATGGCAGTCACTTGTCCCACTGAAGTACCTGTTTAGGCAAATCCAATATTGTCAACAATTTAAAATAGTGATATAATTGAATTACAAACAAAAAGTAAATCAAGGCATTGTTATAGCATATTCTTCCCCAAACCACAAGTAGATTAATTTTACAGATAAGTGGAGGAGTGTCTAAATGTTCTCTAAACTTCAAGTCTCCCTTGCTTGGAAACTTTAGTTATGTGGCTACTGTGAATACCATGGTTTGTATTCTACCTATGCGAGAACACCCACCCCACCTTGGTAACAGTGGTTCTCAGATTCTTCCCCTAAAGCCATCACCTTAGTTCATGGGCCATTTTTAGATGGGATCTTCTCTGTATATCTCATGTCCTTTATAGCTAAATTTGATTATGTTAATTAGAGGAGTATCAAAACTTTGCCTATGACAACAAAGAATTTATGCTTTTACATTCTAATAAATGTGCTTAATTATTAATATATGCAAATAATATATGTAAGACATAAACATTATGTACATGTCTGAGTATCATTTGCATATCCTTTGGAAATGTTGCTTTAGCAAACCGCTTATTATGAGAGAACAGTATTAAATATACATCCATAATGGCAACAGAATGGAGAAGGCATAAAGTTAACAACCTTTCGTGCAAATTTTTTTTACAACTAGACAGTCTTATGCCCCTAGGTATGCCAAAGTCACAATCTTGGCTGCCTATAGCATCAAACCAGTTAAAAATTTTTTTTCAATTTGTTAGGAAAATATGCCAAGTAAAGCAATGTATATGTCGTTCTAAGTCAGATCAGCATTTCCATGTCATGATATATTTCTGGGTCCTTGAAAATGTATTGAGTATTTATAAAGATTCGAATTACTTATTGTTTTATAAATACACCTGTGACACATAAGTACATGGTCAAGATAGAGAACATAAAGTGCATTTGTCTGTCGCACATTCCTATTCATTGTGGATTAATCTAACAGTTAGTAACTTTATGTATCAACTAGCTGCCCTATATACATGCATAGCAAAATGAGCACAAAAAGGTTTGCCTTTGAAGAGTATATGATTTTCTAAGATTACAAAGTTTTATGTAGAATATCCTTGAAAGTCAAGCATTTAAAAATGTTTTACATAATCATGTTTAAAATATTAATGAAGAATTCAACTGATGCAAAAATCTAGTGTTTTCCTAAAATGCGAACTTACCAGATCGGCAATTTTCAGGCACGTTAAAGACAGTCACTTTGTTTTCAAAATATGGGGCATTATCGTTATCATCTTCAACTTTGAATACTAAGGGGAGTGGGTACTCTGGGGCATAACCATCTGCAGTTGTTGCATAGGCATATAGCTGAAAAGTAGACAAACACCCTGAGCTTATTCGTAAATAACAAATTATGCACAAATTAAACCTAGCAGTTAGGGGAAAGATGTAATGTTTAAAGAAATCATCCATAAAGGTATTTGTAGCTGAGAACTTATGCCATGGAAAGACAACAAACCAGCACAGTCTCCACCTGCCGTATGGCTTCAATCCTCTTGCACCGTTCTCACTATTCTCCCACCAAGTGCCAAGCACTCCAGCTGAATAAGCCTATTCCATTCCCTGAATTAACTGCATGCTGTTCTACTTGTTAGAACGCATGTGGACTTCCCCAGTTGTGCTAATAACAAGTATTTCTTAAAAGTTTACAAAAAATATGATTCTATTTATTTACAGATTTGTATATACATATAAATACATATCAACTATAGCTGGGTGACTCAGTTATGGATTCTTTTCTCTATTTACCTGCATTTTCTGACTTTTCTATCATAAATGTGTATTTCTTGTGTAATAAACATGCTAAAGAAATCATTTACAAAATCCAAACTCCACCTCAAAATGATATATCATGGCCCCAAATGCCAGGATTTAATGTCCTTTTCCTTTCAACATCATCAAATTATTTCTTCACTTTTCTTATAAAAGTTATGCATAGCAAGTATTCAATAAATGGTTGTTGAGTTAGGCAGATTTTCTTCACTCATAGGACCAACTGCACCTGCCCAAAGTGAACTCTGTATTAACTCAGTTCTTCACCACAATTGGGTCTTCCTGACTTCCCTACTGTAACCATCTTCCAAACGAACCAGGATTAAAATCCCAGATATCTAACTCCTCCCTTTCTTTCGTTAGCCTTACTAGTCAGTTGCCAAATTCTAGAGATTGTGGCATGTCTGTGTCTCTATCATCCATCGTCTTTTCTATTCCCAATGCCAACATTCTCATGTGACTCCAGATGGATCCTACATGTTGTCCTCCCAACTTTCCTGCAATTGTTCTAACTGACCTTCTTCAATCTATGTAGCACTTAGAAGTCAGATCATTTTCATTAAGCACAATTTTAATCATGACGTTCTCTAATCAGACTCTTCAGTGATTTGTGTATCATTTACCAAAGTAATCACAAAATCCTCACTATTGTGTTAAAAGGCAACATTTCATCTTCACTGTTCATGCAGACCTGGAGGGGAAGGAATTTCTACTCCAATCTCTGACATGGGAGTCATTGAGATAAGCACCTGTGTTCTCTCTGTTGCCTTATTCACTTTTTCCCAGCCATCCCTCAGGTGGGCTTTTTCAGTAATAAAACTTATACTTTGATTTCCATCAGTTTGACTGCTACATCTTATTCTCAATAACTTCTGAACTCAGGAGTGGAATGCAGGGGTGTGTCATCACTACTTCACCACCACCACTGCTGTCACACCATCATCATCACCGCCACCATCACATCCAGATGTCACACTATTCAGCCTTTCTACCAATCTCTCCCTTCCCCCCCATATTTGATGTGAATTTTTCTTTCTTTAAACTGCTGCCATTTTGAGATTTTTAGCTAGAGAAAACTATGAAATTGTTTTATGTCTCTATTAGGTTACAATTGTCCTCAGGGATGAAGCCTGAGACTTATGGATATTCGTGTTCCTGAAGCACCTAACATAGTACCTTAGATTGGGTAATTCTTCAGTAAATAGCATTTTGCATTCAATTCCATCCATCTTTCCTTTTTAGGAAGACAAACCATCCTTTAAGTGTGCCCTCTGTAAAGACTGTCGTAAACATTCTGTGGAATGACTTGTAATGAATCCTTCTACCTCATCACATTGGCATTAAAATATCTCCCTATCTAACCTAAGTCCATCCTGCTGTAATTTACACCAATTTTTGCTAGTTTTCCTCTTCAACAAAAATGAGGATCATCTATTTCCCACCATATAATCACTTGTAGTTTGAAATAATATTTCATGACACTCAACTATAAATAAATACTATCATTTCACATTCCACTGATTCAGATGTGGTGATTTTATTTAAGGTACTATTTCAGGGTGCTGGTTTTTATTTTTTGCGAATAATGAGATAAGTATCTACAAAATAAATCAAAATTGAATCATTATTGTAAAGAGAATGATCCAAGCTAGGAACGTAGCTAAACTTTAAAGCATAGCCTAGCTCCCTAGGAGAATCCACTCATGTTCATGTAATAGAGAAACTAATTATAAACACTTTCTTATTTAGTCATTAAAGCAAACATTTCAAAAAACTTAATAAAAGTAATAGTTTTGCAGTCCAGCTCCCATTATTCTGTATTAAAAACAATATACTTAAATATTGTTATAATAAGTATAATATAGAATATTATACTTTAAAAGTAGTCATATTTTTAGTTGAGTTAGAAGAGTATTATTTAAATTTCATATGTGTTTCATATCATTTTCCTCTTGAATTATTCCGTAGCTTGAAGAATCTCCTCTCTTTTAGCCCTTTTGCACTTCAATTTGCTCAGATCACTCTCATCTTTGGGAAGATGCAAACAGTTTTGGAAGATACACAGAGCTGGGACTTGAGTTTGGCCTTATAAAGAGAGATATCCAGTGTACACAGGGCAGAGGAAGAGGGAAAGCAATGACACGAAAGCTCAGCGGGTACAGAATGTGATTAGCAACACAAATATAAAGACAATGGGTAAGTATATGTCTGGAAAAAAACTCCATGTGGTACAAAATAGTAAGGCTCTGGGTGGACAGGAAGAAGGCACCAGATTGTTCTAGAGCCAATTTTTCTCTAAGGGTTTATAATTCAGATTTGCCTCAACACTCAAAGAAGAAGGGTATTTGCAACTGCTTTTTTTCAGAGAATAACTTGGAGTTATTGAAGAAAAGTCCCTTCTTATGTAACTCTTCTTTGGAAAACTCAGAAAAATGGCGTTATAAAACTCCCTGAAAGGATAGATGAATTTAATGTTTAAGACAAATTCCTCAAGCTGCAATAATGGTGTGACTTACCCAGAAAAACCTTTAGAAGCCAAGATTAAGCTACACAACATAGGGCAAGAGAGAACAGAAGCACAAAAAGGATATGTATTGAATTAGACCCATGGCTACTCTTCTCAATAGTCAATGAAATCAAATAATTTTAAATAATTTATTAATACATAACATTTATATAGGTTAGATAAAAGCAAAGAATTGGGAAATCCCATCAAAATCCCCAGGTTTGAGAACAAAATTCTGGAGCATATATGTTGTTTGATCTACCATTAGAATATTTTTAAAGATTTTTACAGTTTATATGCTGATTTCACCAACATTAGAGCATTCAATGATCACAACAGCTCTGAGGTAGGTAAGACAATCATCAGTGGCCCATATATCAGAGAAGAAGACAGATTCTTGGGGTTGTGACCTGTCCAAGGCTAAAAGGAAAAATGGTAAATACTGAAGTGCTACTAATTTCCAGAGAAATAAGCTTTCCAGTATAAAACAATAAGTGAAATTGATTTGATGGAAAAGCAAAGAAATATTATTTTTATTTTAAGCTCTACGTTGACAGAGAAGGCTTCCATTCTATATTGCCTCAAGTGATTTTATAACTTGCATCATGTTTACAACTGATTATCATACTTTTATGAATTTTACTGATTTGCAAGTGGTGTTTCTTAAGATCAACTCAATCTCAATCATGTTAATGGAAACTAGAGAAACATGGGTAATTCTGAAGGAAAAATTATTCAAAAGCCCAACTTTGAGTATAAATTCCAAACTATTTTATTCTTTTGTCCTTTAAAAGGTGTCAAAAAATAGCAAAGTAACTTATGTTTAATTTTAAACTAGTCTGTCCTCCTTCTCTCTAGCAATGATCCCAATAAGAAGCCAATATAGACAGCAGGTTGACCAGTGAGAAGCGGCTGAAGACCTCAAAAATCCATAAACAGGATGTTATCAGTAGAATAAGAAACGAAGTGCTCATGGAGACATACAGAGTAGGCAGCTGCTTATTTCTCCTCAAGAATGGCTACTAGTGTTAGATCTTCTCTTCTTGTGAAGGAAATATAAGAGCAGCAGAGTACCTACCTGTATATATATATGTATCTTTCTATATAGATATATATAGATATAGATAGATAAATATATATGTATATACATTTACCTATCAATTATTTATTTGGCTATTTGATAGAAAGAGCAAAATGTTTGCAATAGTGCTTAGCATACCTCTCCTGTAAGAGCCTATGTAAGCTACTTTTTAAAGTAACAATTTGACATTTTTATGAGTATGTTTATTCCAAAGAATTTGAGTGGGAGCATAAAAGTATAAAAAAATGTCATTCTAATCCAAACATTTTATTTAATTATGAAATCCATAAAGTCCAACATTTATGTTGTTTTAAAAATTTCACTACCTTGTATAGTGCTTTGATATCCATAGGATAGGGCCCTTAGCATGAATTATAAGGTCCTTCACACTCTAGTCTTTCATTACTGCTCTAGTAAGTAGAGAGTAATTTCACACTCTTCCTTAGCTGTAAACAACACTCCAGCCAGGGTTTGCTGTTGTTCTGGTTGTTTTCTTCTTAACCAATGGGTCTTATATTGCTGATGCCTCTGCCTAGAACACTTAGCTACCCACTCCTCCTCTTGTCCCCTTGCTGCCCGCCCCCCCCCCCCAACTGCTACCTTCATTCATGGCTACCGTTATGTAACCACCAATTCCTACTCATCTCTTGAGTGTCTGCTAAGATATTACTTTCTGGACTACCTAAGTATGAGATGAATTTCCCTTTTCTGTACTCCTTTAGCAAAGAACTCCTTTACTATACTCTCTTATAATTCAAGACACCAAGTGCTTAAACAAAGTCATTCACCATCCCCCCGAAACTCACTATGAATTTCTCTTATACGTCAGATTGGACATCAGGACACTAAGGAGGTATGTGAAGTTTGAAACAGAAACAAAAAAAGGATTTAATTTTCAGAAGAGTTAGAACTTTTATTTGGGTAAGATTAAATTGAATAAGAAGAGTTGGTAAATTTTTTCTGGATTACTAAGGAAATAAAATGATACTCAAGATTCTTGTTGCTGAAGGACAGTCAGAGGGAAGAAGAGAAGAAAAGAAGCACGATGATATGCAGAAGGCTAAAGCAGCAGATCTCAACCCTAGGGTGTGTTTAGGATCACCTTGGATGACTTTGAATTTTCAATTGCCTGGGACCCACCCCAGAACAATTAAATCAGAATTTCTGGCAATGGACCCGAGCATCAGTATATTTAAAAAGTTCTAATGTGATTTATAATGTACAATCAGGTTTGAGAATAATTGAGCAATGTTATTATAGGGAACTTCAAACTCAACAAAATTCATTGTCATTATCCCAAATCAAACCTGTCCTTAAAATTCTGCCCTTATATTTTCTATACCTTTTCCTCCCTTTCCTTCCCTCATGATATCTGTTGTCTTTCTTCATCAATGGCACCCATAGAAATTTGAAGTTTACATTACACATTAACAGCATTTAAAATATCAAATAATTGATTCTTCTAATATGCAAACAACCAGCATTGAAAATATTAAACCTGTAATAAAAAACATAATTCTGAATAAATAATCTTACCGGAAACTGGTCATATTGCTCACGGTCTATGCTTCGTGTACAAAAGATATCCCCAGTGTCTTTATCTATAAAGAACAAATTGAAGGGCTCTTTGTCCACTCCTGGTCCACTGATGGAGTAAAAGATGGTGTAGTTCTGTGCAGCATCAGATTGGACCTGTAACAATAAGTGACAATTTAGGATAATAAATATCTTCAACCTAAACTCTTGTGATGGCTTAGTTTTTATCACTTGCTCTCTTTCTTACTCAACCCATCCTTTCTTTCCTCTGCTTATCTATCCACCATCTCTCATATTTTTTAAATTCTTATTCATATTCTGCAATGTACAAAGCCACAAACTCTGTCACCTATTTGATCTCAAATTCTTTTGTGTTGTCCGCATATTTATAAAAAATTCATGGAGTTGGATATCTTTACAATTCATATTACTTATTCCTATTCCTATGTGAAGAATAGTTAACAGTTTCAGTGATTTTGAATTATTTGGAATAAAACGTTTTCTGATAAAAAAGTAAAGTAATGCAATTTTCCTCTCACAATGAATTCTTCAAGAAGTGCATAATTTCAAAGCTGGCTTATGTTTACACACTAGCTATGTGGCAGTGACACCACCTTTTTGGTAAACAGAAACACTGGCCTTTTCTTGTGAAGATAAGTGTTAATCAAATTGAGAGGTGAATTATGCAAACTCTGTAGGCGTGTCTTTTGTACGTGAACGCTGAAGTCTGGTAGAATATTCAGGAGAATCTCAACGGAGACCTAAGAGCATCAGAGACTCAAAATATGAAACTTGTTTCTAAATACTAAATATGATTTCTAGAAGGAAGTGATAAAATACACTGACTCACTTCTGTAGGACCCTAGATCTGGTGAATAGATAGTCTTTATTAGTACCAATAGGTTAAAGCCTTGGTTCAATATACTGTGCAGTTCAAATGGAAAGTTTTCAAAACAAACAAAAATCCTCTAACATATAAACTCAAACAAAATGAAGTGTACCTGCTGAACATGTTGTGGAAATGGACCTAACGAGTTCTCCATCAGTGAACATGGAATAGGAGCCCACCGTCTCTTGCTGCGCTTGAGGACTGTGTCTTTGGTATGTCTCTTCTTAGGAGTCTATATTTGATGAGAGATGAAGAAATACAGCATCACTTATCATTCTAGGAACTGTGATTTTCACGTTACATCAACATGAAGAAAACAAATAAAGGGTATACAAAACAATATCATGGATAACCCCAAAACCACTTCTGTTTTTATTAATAAGATAAACACACACACTTACACAAGAATTAAGAGCCAGTTTGACCTATTTCTTGATTTAACCAGTTAATCAAGAAGAAGTTTACAGGCCATTGGGGAAAGAGGCCATCCTGAGAAGTATAGACTCCCTAAAAATAGAAAATCTATTAACAATTATTTGGGAATACATTTTATTCCACCAAAAGTGGAGCAACCAAAATTTGTTAAAACACTAGCTGCATTTCAAAGCATTCGTATACCGTTATAAAGATACAGGTCAGCATTTGTTCAAGTATGTTTTATTTTATGTGATGTAGGGACTCTTTACAATTTGGGTATAAAATAATATATTGTAAGACTTAAACATATTCTAAATTTGATGAAGAGGAATTCCTGTAATCAAAAGGAATTTATCCAGGAAAATCTCTTATATATTGAACCACTTATTAATAAATGATTTTATAAGGCCAAATTCATTGTGCAGAGTTTGCTTAACGTGAGATTTATGTGAATTCCAGTAATCTTCTTCCTTCCCACTCCCTGATCACCACTACTCACTGCAAGAAAATGAGCCTAGAGTCAAAACACTCAAACCAGTCCTGTGGACTGACCATCCCATTCTCCAAAGAGAAGGACTCCATGGGATTTTTGATTAGGATAGGAGTAAGCTTTAGACAATCTCTTCTCCTCTTTAAAGAGAGGCTGAAATGCATAGTCACTTGGGAGAGAGCTAGTCAGGGTGGAGTGCCCCACCTCCAGCCTCAATCAATTCTCGCTGAGTTGTAGACCCATCCCTGCCTTGTTCTTCAGGTTAGTTGTTCTAATTATTGCCACACCTCAAAACACTATCCGAAAACTTTGGTATTCTGACTTTGCTCCCTGGCTACAGTTGTTCGTTTTTACATCATTTTGTAAATAACTCTACCACTCCTTAAAACAGTCTAGTCTTTCCATATGGTAATTACCAGTGGAATAGACAAGTGAGCATTCAAGAATAATGATTTTAATGTGGAAGGAAGTCTATGAAATGAAGGACTCATAAACAGATCAATAAGGTTAAGTCTTTGCCTAATGTACCTTGTTTCCTCCTGCTGCCAGTACAATTTCAATCTCTTTCTGTTCCTTTCTCTGACTGTCCAAAACAAAGATGGAAAAACTCTTCCTTTCAGAAGACAAAATGAGGTCATGTGTTGTGTAAATTGAGCCATCTTCTAGAATCCTGAAGTCAGGATCACTTGACAGGACTAGGCTGGCCGACTGGAGACACTCCTTCAGATTCACTAGAGGGAAGAAATTTCACAGTAATTTGTAGGATGAAACAGGCATAGAACAAGTTTTACAGGAATGACAACTACAAGTTAGTGCATGAGAAGCAGAAAGAGGGAGGTTACACTTGAAATCTGTTAAGTACCGACTATTTTAAAAATTAGGGGCCATGAAAATTAAATAATTAAATTAATGGAGTCACAGTTTCCATTGCTTCCATTGTAAATTAATTTATGAATAGACATAAAATATTTTCATCACCAAATCTGTAGTTTCCACTTTAACTTTCATTTATGGGTTTGTACATATATATACAAGTTTGTAGTTTTACATCATATGTAGGATAGTTGTGTGACATCGGTAGATTTTGAACTTGTTTGCAATAATCTTTGTTAAAACTCTTGCAAGAAATAAGGAAACTGGTCTATACTTAGGGAATATTTCTCAGTAATATTGCAAATAATCATTCTGCAGTATCTTTTGGAGATTTAATAAACCCAATGCTTAGTATATATTATGGTTATCAAAATAATTCTTTATAGATTCATATTTAATACAGTTAGCATATTTACTGTGTCTTTAGAGTATAGACTATATATCTTTTAAATATTTTTATTTAAAAGAAGAGTATTTTTAAAAGATATAAGGGATTAATTTAAAATGTCAAAGCACTGGTCAAAGCAATGTCTATCTTGGAAAGCATACCACTTCTACATTCAAGGTGTATTTTTCTAAGTGTAAACTTAAGGCCAATGATGAAAGGAATGTCAACCTTGGACTCAGACCAACCAACCCATGCTTCAGGTATGACTGTGATAATAAGATCAGTTGAAATTTTACTTGACTTTCACAGCTATTCTGTGAAATAGATCACATCAATTCTTACTGGGTACTGGTTCATTGTAATCATCCTCAAGCACCAATTTTATTTTGACACATCTCTTTTATATCTAATCAATCAAAGAAACTTGTTTGGAATTTTGGCAGCAGATTGGTTGATATAAATTAAAATCTGCTTCTGGTTTGGGTGCCTTGTTTTGTTTGCACTAAACTAAGATAACTTAGCCCTCTATGTTTGCTAATTTTTCTGGCAAGAAAAGTATATAAATAACTTGGTGCTTTAATTGTTTCTAACCACTACCAAGAAACAAGTGGTTTGTCTTTCATTTTAAGTCGAATTTTAATGCCAAGTGGAGACTATATGGCTTTTATCCCAGACTTTATGAGAGCAGCCTGAAGCTAATGCAGCAGTTCAAACTATAAAATTCCTAATACCATTTCTCACCTTTGCCCACAAGCGTTTCAGCCTGAAGATGAGAAGGAACTTGAAGAGAAATTTTCTGACATGCATCGCAAAATAATATTAAAACCTCAAAAAAAAAGAAAAAAATCCAGAATTACATTTGATCACAAACTTTCACATTACAGTTTTGTCTTATTGATAAAAATACTGTCAATTTCAGAAACAAATTAATCTTCTAATCCTTCGATATTTTTCATATTCTTTGAAAAAGGAAACAGCAAAGAAAGTGGCTTTGGGGCACCACAGTCATTTAGTACCAATGAAGAAACTAAAGTGAATCTCAAGAAAATGTGTTACAAATCATTGATTTTATATAGAGGTTATCATCTCTAAGGCCATTCATAAATGTCATTCTGATTTTCTAGTGTGAAGAAAACACTTAGCTCTGAAATATAATAATCACGTATTTGTATACAAATCATCTTTTTCATAGCCCCAAACAACTTGAGGGTGTAGTTCATTAAGTCTAGAAAATATTTGAGGATTTTTTTAGATCCTCCTAAAGAACAACACCCACAAATATTCACCTATCTCAAATCACTCCTTCGTCTGGCTTGGCATAAACTTCAAAGCCTAAATGACCTCATTCACAAGTCTCGTCTAAAAAGAAATATATTTCAAAATATAGAGAGTGGCCTTCAACAGGATAAAGACTTTTAGTTAAATTCAAGACACAAGCATTATTTTAAAAAGCTAAGTGGTTCAAGAAAGGAGATAGAGACTGTATGAAAAATAAAAGAAAATCTATCAGTTTAAAAGTGTCTATCGGTCCAAAACCTATTTTGCTTCTTTTTCTTGGCATTTTCTGTTTACTTGCTTCCTCTTTGTGTTTATCAAAATGATGATCTTTAATTATGTAAGTATAAAATAGAGCAGAGCTGGATTTCCCTGAAACAGATAGGTCAATTTTATGATCAATTTTTCTCTGAAGCTGTATTTCTAGAGCTAAAAGATCCATTATTTGGGAGAAGGAAAGAAGATTATCAGCCATATTATGGATGTATACTCTTTTTCCAACTCAACTCAAATCTATTGGATATATTATATCAGCCTATTTAAATAGCTTGCAATTTTACAAAAGCTCTGTTAGGCAGATTATACCAAAAATTAGAATTTAAAAAGTCACTTTTGTATTCAGTTTTAATTTAAATAACCATCTTTTAAAACATGAGATGTTTTTATTTATTTGACTTTTTAATATTTTCATTTTTAATGCCAAGGAATGAACTAAATTACACTTAAAAACTTTCTGAACATAAAGAATTCTATTAGTAATGGTCTAAATATGTAATGTGGAAGGAACATTTTGTAATTAGAAATATGCATACATATACAAATATACATACATACATATGTATACATATATATACACATACATATATATGTATATATATGCACATACATTACTTGATAGAATGCATCCACATTTCCATTCCTACCCCCATCTTCTTTTTTTTCCTGCCCTAAGACCCCCACTTCATTGGTTCTGCCTCTGCAGGCAGAGCCAATGGAGGTTTCCAGAAGTACTATTCCAATCTTCAGGTCAAATTGGCAGCTTAGTGATTTGGAGGGAGCTGAGGTCAGACACCCTTTTAGTCATTATTGGGGTTAGGGATTGACGTGCAGGAGACGAACCGGAAATCAAAAGTAAAATAAATCTGGGTGAATCTTTGGGAAGCTTTCACATTTTACCTAACACTAACTTAAGAAGGTCTCTGAGATCCATCGCCCACCCTCCCGCCTCCCGCCCCACTGCCCCAGGCAGTTACAGGATGCGAATGTGCCCAGCAACCCTACATCCTGTACTACGTACATGGAGAAAGTGTTTATGCCCATACGCTAAAATCTTTACATTCTGAAAATATAATTTGAAGTTAAAATACTTTGCTAAAATTAAGAAAGAAGGGAATTCAGTGCTCAGAAATGCAAGATGTAGATGTAGGCTGCCTCCCCCTCCCCCCATTTACCAAAGAAAAATTAGCACCTGAGTACACAGTTACAAAGTTATTAAAAACCTAGGTGGAAGCCAAGTCAATGGCATTTTTTCAATGACTGTCACGCTTTTCTTTAATATTTTTCTCAAGTGAAACCCCTTGCTTGAACGAAGAGCTCTGCCCTTCTCTTAGCTCTTCCTGGGTAAAATTAAGAAAGTCTTGGATAATTCGCATCTTCACCAAGAATCGTTTTCCTCTTCTCGCAGCTCAGTGGAGCTAAGCATGTTAAATAACTACAGTTTATTTAATGACTAGTAGCTAAAGCAACCCTCAGAACCTTCTGGGCCAATGCCTGCAGATAGAATTCATTCCACTGCTCCTTAGAAAAACACTACAGCAAGATTGAACAGGAGAGTCCCTTGAAAAACTTTAACTTCCTAGCAGTGGGCATTTAAGATTAAGCAAAACACCAGCGATTCCAGGTCACAAGTCTCTCAACTCTTCCTTGTATTTTTGTCAAATCTGTTTTTGTTTTCCCAGTCTATCTTCTCTGCCTTCCATTCCCATCTCTACTCTCCTTCAAGCCCAAACTGGAGGGAGAAAGCGCATAGTAACATGCTTGAATTCCCTGATACTTTGGTTGTTACTCACCAAGAGAGAGAAAAGGAGCTGCTTACGGAAGATGCTTCCTGCGGCAGCGGAGGCCACAGCCATCAGAAGTGGTCCCAATGGTCAGGGATGGCGACCGGATATAGGGCAGCTTGGGATGCACAGGGCGGCTTAAGCAGATTCCCAGTGGCTGGCACTCGTGCAGGGGATTCTGCTGCCGCCTTGGCACAGAGCAGCTTGGTTTGGAGGAGAGTCAGGAGGCAAGTGATAAATGATAGGAGGAGGAGGCGCGGTGGGAGAATTACTTTCCTCCTATTCCCGGATCAGTCTTCCTCCTTCCAATTCAGTTACCTCTGGATCTGAAGAGGTTTTCCTACAAGTGGGGAGGGTGGGGTACAAAACATCCCAAAACCTAGTCACTAGCTCCTCCTCGCAGCTTTCAAAATTTCTTCTGCCACTTAACACACAGGCAGAAGCAAGAGGGAACACCCTCGAGCCTCAGCCCTCCTCCCTTTCCCCCCAGGTTGATGCTCTGAAGTCCTCCCCAGTTATTACCCACTCCCACATCCTCCCCTCCTTCTTTGCCTTATTAACCTGTCTTGCCCCTGGGTACAAACATAACTTGTGCACAAACTCCGTGCAAGTAAGGGATGCTTCCTCAGCTACCATTGGCAAATCAGGGGACATTTGCATGTGTAATCACAATCATCAGAAGTTATCTCCTTATCTAAGCATTTAGGTGTAGTCTGTCACATACAGCGTTGCAGTTCTGCCAAAGATCTCATACTCCAGTCTAGAGCAGCAACTTCATAGGTGTCCACTCCCTATTATTGTCTGTCCACTGTGGTTTGATCCTCTAGATGTCACAAAGAATTTACTGGAGTGTATATAGACCTCATAAAAGTAATAGAATAAAGAAAGATCAGGGATATAATTTTCTTATTGAGTTCTTTTTGTTACTCATGAGGTGATATTTTTTTCCCCTATCTTTTTTCCGAGAACAACTACAATCTGAGACCAACTCTCTTTAAAATCACTTCATTCATCCTAATTATTTGTACATTACATGCAGGATATCCTAGCCTAAAAGTACAATATTCCATCAAATTTAGTTTTTTAAACTCTAATGACCCTTGCAATGAGGACTGTAGCATCATTTCTCCCGTCATAAGTCAGTGAGTGCAATATCAATTGCACTCAACAGCAGTGACGGAAGTTAGGGAAGGAGAGTAAATATTTTCAAATGGTAATTGCTTAATTTGGGATATAGAGAGGGAAATAAAATTCATACTCACTGAGCCACTGCTAAGAACCAGGAACCATGACAAGCATTTTATTGAATCCTCCCACACAACCCAATGAGGACTCCTTTCAGATGGTGAAACCACGAGAACGTAAGAAACTATCTTTTGCCCATTAAGCCACAGACAATGGAGAAGTAAACATTTGAACCCAGGTCTGACTGCCACCAAAGTGCTATTCTTTTCACTCTCTCATGCTATTTCGATGACAAATATACGCCAATATATTGAAAAGCAGCAGAAAATGATGATCAGGTATGTAAGAATTCTGTCTTGCTGAACAATAAGCCAATCTGAGATAAGTAAAATGTATTCAGAAGCAGTTATAACCTACACCACTTAATAACAGCCAATCATTCTAGAATACTGTGGGCATCTGGCCTCTTTTGTAGGAGTCATTCCATAGTCAAGGAAAATGGCTGTAAAACGACTTCCTTTATAAATTTTTATGTGTGAATTGCCTCTTCCTCCTCTTCCTACTTACATTTCTACCTCATGTTTAACTGAAAAGTAAAAGTACAGCTCAATACCCATGCTGCCAAGAAAGGAAAGATGAAAGATTTTCTTTTGCATATTTGACAGTGGGAGCAATTGCTTCTTACATGTAGAGGTGGAAATAATAATATAACTGCTCCTTTGGAATTAGAGGCCAGGCAGATTTGGGAAATAAAAGACCCTGGAACAAGAACTAAAAGATATCCTGTAGTATTTTATTGCCAAACGTATAGCCACTAATAAATATATTTGTGTCTGCATTGGAATTTGACTTCTCAATAAGAATATAAAATCACTTTAATTGGATATTTTTCTATTTGATATTTTGGGAGAAAGAAAAAAGAATTGAAATAGAGAAACAGGAATAATTGCCTAAGTGTATATGTGTAGATTCAAGTGTAATTCTGTCTGTGTATGTTTAAGCATAATTATCTAAGTGTGTATTCTAATACATATATATCTGTACATATATATATATATATCTTATGTATGTGTGTATATATATATATATATATCTTCCTGTAACTTAAAAAATTCTATACTCAAGTTCTCCAGTTCTCCAGTCCTGGAAAGTGGTAATACCTTTTCCAGCTAATGAAGTCATCATTACATCTTCCTAAATTTTGACATCCTCCTTTGAAATGGGAAAGAAAACATTAAAAAAATTAAATTGATGATACTGAAAACATTAGCATGTATTGGCCTGTTGAAGACATGCAAGGCATTGCGAGCTTCAGGTGAATCCAGAATACTCTCCGTGGTTCTGGAAAACTGATTTTCTTCATCTCACTTCGTTTAGCTGTCTACTACATGTTTTCTTCTCCCATTATCTCTCTTTCTCAAAAGGAATACAAAAATGTGTACAAAACTCCAAACCATTGCAAATCGGTCACATCAATAGTATTTCTCCTATATTTGCTACTTATACACAAAGTTTTCTTTTAAAATATAAGTACTTATAGGAAAACAATTTATTATAATAAAATTGACCACCTTAAAATCAAGTTAAGTGAAAACAAAATTTATCTCTTCCAATTTTATGCCATCAGGTTATTCAGAAAGAACTCTATTTTAATTTTATGTGTATGTTTGTTGTATTTTTTTGTTTTAATCTATGTGTAAGTTAACAGCCTAACTGATTGATTGACAGTGTGGTACAGTGGTTAAAAGTTTAGACTCTGCAGCTAGATTTCCTGGGTTCAACTCCCAGCTTTACTACTTATTAGCAATATATCATTAGGCAAGTTGCTTAACCCTTCTGTGCCTCAGTTTCTTCGTCTATAAAATAGGGATAATAATAGCTACTAATTTATAGGTTATTGTGAGGATAAATGTGATATTACATAGAAAGTACTTTGAAGAGTGTCTGGCTCATAACAAATGCTCCTATTTTACACAATATAATTGCCTAGGTGTGCAATAAAAAGTTAAAGAGACTGAATTTCAAATGAAACAAACATAAAATTATCAAAAATCCAAGGTCTCTTATGTAAAAGCTATCTAAAGATATACAAATGGATTTATTCATTGAACAAATATTCAAGGATCCATATACTGGGCTCTGACCTCTGCTAGGAGATGAGTACCATATACAGAAAAAAGAAGACTGAAATCTTATTATTTAAAAAGAAAGGCACACTTTGTAAAGGAAAACACAAACGTAGTTCTCTTTCCAGTTCAAAATAGAAGGTAAAGAGACGCTGTAGCAGATATTCAATACCTTAGCAAGTTAGAGAAATTAAGAATAGACAATAATTAGTGTAGAGACTCCTGTATAAGAAAAGAATTTCTAAGTATATAAACATTGCATAATTTGTTTTCCACCACAGATTCATGGCCATACAGAGAAAAATTTAAGTCCGAAGACCCACATGACCCTTGCAGGTCTTCAGTTGTTAGCTTACGGCATGTCAAGAAATATGCTTTCCTATGAATTTCAAAGGATGGAAATACAATGAAAAATTTCGTAAGAGATGTTCATGCACAGCCAATTTGCAGAAAGTGCTGGTTATGAACAAATTCAAGGCCTTAAAATAACCACTTACTGATTGAATTATTATCTCTGTCTGGTGACTCAGTTTATTCTAAAAGACTCTGGACCAGTAAGAATGCTGTATACATTGATGAAGCCATAACAAGGCACTTTGTGCTAAGTACACATGACCAAAGAGAAAAGAAACTACAGGGGTAAAACAGAGTGTGTGATCTTAATATGGGAAAGTAGAAGTGTATAAACAAAGAAAAAAGAAGTCTTAGTTATAGAAGACATCTTGGATCCCATGAGTTCAATATATGGCAGTGGGAAGCCCCTTCAATTCCACTGGACTCACAGACTTTTATCTGGGTGAAAGATTATTAAAAATTAGAAGTGACTCATAGGTACTGATAACTACTAGCAAATATTTCTTAACTCTTTCCATAGAATACTGGTTAATTTTACATAAATTGACCACTTCTCACTATTATCAAAACTGTTGGCAGACTTATGAAAAGAAACGCCAGCATACAGGTCTATATAATTTAGAACTCTCTATTCAGCACACATCTAACTCGAATTGGCTTCAGAAAAATAAAACAAACAAAATTGTTGAGGATAAAGGGATTTGTTAGGTCATGTAATTGGAAAGTCCAGGGATATCCTAGATTCAGGAATAGCTCAAGCCAAGTGATCAAATCATGTCCCCAAGATATTGGTTCTCTCCATCTCTTAGCTCTGCCTTTCTTTGTGTTGGTTTCATTATCATTCAGTTTTCTCAGTGTGGAGACAAAGATGGCTACAGGAGCTACAAGATTACACCCTATTGGTTTCATAATCCATAGTCGAAAGCCAAGTCTTGTATATAATAGTTGAAGCAAAATACAATCCCACTGGCCAAATCTTGCCCATAAACCTAAAGACAAAGAGTGGGCCAGATTTCGTGGGCAAAAAGTGGCAGAGAGGTTGTTGCCCAAAGATGACTGTGGGCTGTTGACAGAAAAAGGAGGAATAGTGGCTAGACAGGCAAATCAAGAGATGTCCGCCAAACTGGCCTTTTCTTTATTGTCATTTCAATAATACTAGTCAAGTTTCCGTCAATCATTTACTAACACCTTCTATACTCTAAGTCCTACCCATGGTGCTGATGATAGAAAGCTGAAGAAGATGTGATCTCTGCTCTAAAAGAGCTTACAATCTACTACATGTTTTGAAAATTAGTTAAAGTATTCATAAGATAGGGTCAGGATTAAAATCCTGGTGAAATGAACATTTTAGAATTTTATTCATTTCCTGATTATTTTCTTCAATTATTATTTTCTTTGGTGGCCTTCAAAATAAATGTTTGAAAAGTAGATGGAAGCCTATTGTCAATTATTTATCTTATATATAAAAATCATATCATTAACTGTTTACTTTTAAATATAAGAATATATACTCACTACCTAAACTTTGTTAAGATGGAAAATTAGGAGGGAAAACTTCACCCATGATCTAAAAGTAATCTTCCAGTTTATATCTTCCAGCCTAGTTTCTGTGTATAGAATTTTTAACATTGTTAGACTGTGCTATAAACATAATTTTGTAGTATGCATTTTCCCC